ACCCGTAGGTGAATGAGATATGGCCGATTTTCCAAACAATTCTGCGACGTGCTTTATTACTGCTTGAAACGTGCTTTATTACTGCTTAAAACGTGCTTTATTACTGCTTGAAACGTGCTTTATTACTGCTTGAAACGTGCTTTATTACTGCTTGAAACGTGCTTTATTCCAGAATACAGATTGATATAGGCTTTATACGGTAAACAGCGAATATCTGGACATAAACTTAGATAATTATTGATAATAAAATCTCTATGAAGGAGGCACTATACTGCACGTGTTTCGACTGTGGCCGGCCGCGATGCATGCAGTATCATGTTTATTATTCCGCTTGCCGCTCAACAAGGTATTGATTCGTGTAATGCCTCAAAGGGGCTTTTAACAATAATTGAACGCATCAGTCCATATTGTCGGGAAAGTTCTGCGACGGTTTATCGACAAAGCGGCACGTGTATGGTTTATTTTTGTCTATTCGATTTCCCTTTATCATCACTTATTATAAAACAAAGTTGCCCCTATGTATGCTTAGATCTTTCAAACTACGTAACGGATTTTGATACGGTTTTTTGTAATGGATAGAGTGATTTAAGAGGAAGGTTTTTAAGTATAATTTGTACCTGTGCAAAGCAGGGGCGGGTCTCTATTCTGCTTTGTTATGAATCAGTGAATAGAAGTAGAGTTACAAGATATAGGAACAACCATAATTTATTTATGTATTTATTTAAGGACAATCAACAAAACATACACCATACATTCACATTTTATGTATTATCATACCTTGCTAATTTAAACTTCAAAGTCACTTACAAGGCAAAAAGGGACACCTACATAACAGTAGGTAAACAGCTGACCGAGAGTCAGCATAAAAGTATGTTTAGCTGATATTTCGAAAATGCCTTATTATCTTTATTTTGAACGTTTTCAAACATTTTGGGCTGGTGCTGACTGTAAAAACAAAATGTCAAAAGAAATATTTTAAACTCGCCATCTCAATGATGTTAGGGGTAGGTGTAGCTTAGGTTAGTAGGCCTAGTGCCTTATTTCCAAACGAAGTCCACTGCTGGACAAAGGCCTCCCTCAAGGATATCCATAACGACCGGTCCTGTGGTCCAGGTACTTCCCGCGACCTTCACCATATCGTCGGTCCACTGTTTTTTAACTATTCTGCTGTTTTTAAAAAGTCATCTTACACTTGTCTTGAAAATGGCCAGGACAATATAGTCAGAGCCAAATGGGGTAATATAACAAAAGAAATAAGCTTTTCACATTCTTCCCGCATTTTCGCGGCTCCACCATATAGAGCATGTTATGAGGTAGTTTGTTTGGTTGCCCAGTTTACACTCCGTTAACGGTTGGGCAAACCCATTTCTTTTATTGTATTCGTGTTTGTGTTTGCTAAACAATTTGCAGTAATTGTTTTGTTAACACATAACTGTGTTATGAAATCACATGTTACAAAATATCACGCTATTGCACTTATTTGTGTGGGGTGTTAAATTGTTTCGCTCTTTTATTCCTTCCCTTAGGACAGTAATCTATTTATTTTTATTGAGATTATTATACTTTGTGTCAGAATCACAGGTTTTTCAGCACCTCTTCAAGTCACGTATAATTATTTCCTTAACTTTGGTTGTTTTATCAACTTCATTAATTGTTATCGTATACACTGCAGGTTTTCACTATAGATTAAGCCATCCGTTGAATATTTTACGTCTTCCCAGAACATATAATATTTAACTCTAGCTCGTCCTGCGGCGTCGCTCCTCAAAGGGCCTATACATATTTATTGCTTTCAAAATTTGTCGCCGGCGATATTTTTCAATCTATTTTTGCGACCCCGGTTTGTTTACGCGCGGATTTGATTCGCCTCGAGTTGGATTTGCTTCGCTTCCATACTCCGACAGTAATCACGGAATTCAATACATATTTATTTGTACTCCCAAGATGTGTGATGTGCGGTCGTGTGTTATAAAATATTCCGAATACCGCGTTTAAATGAAGGTAAATGGCATCTTTTTTATTCTGCGTCGATTTAGTAAACGTGTAAGGAATGTGGTATTTTTTAAATCTTACTTGCAACGGTAAAAACGTCTGTTTTGTAGAATTGGTCTGTCTTGTATTTAATTAGTTACTTATTGTTGTTTGATTTATTGAATGGTGCAGGTCAGTTCCTCTTAATGACTGATGTTAGTTACCACAAATGTAAAATCTGTCAAAATGAATCAACAGAGTTTCCCATTTTATGAAAGTGGGCGAGTCTACAAGTAACGACCGTACCATAAAAGGAAAGATATTATTTCATGTCACTACAATTTTCGCCAAGATAAGGTTTTTATTATCCTTCACAAATACACACAATAAAGTCGCAAAAATAACAGCATTGAATTGATGATACATCGGCCATCTTGCGACGGTTATAGAGCGGGCACTTAAAATGCGCGATACACTCTGTTTATTTGCCTCTTCATAAATAAGTTATAAATTCTAGAGGACAAATGTTGTTATGCGAGTAAGAAAACAGTTTTCAATAACAGAAGGCACAGTCAAAGGAAGCTTGTTAAAAAGTTGTCAGCGTCTACGCTGCATTCGTTAACTGTCTAACAAACTTACTTATTCGACGGATCCGAGCGCGGATAAGTGGCGAGAGATCGCGTCAAATGGCCCGGCGCTGCATATAATATACTAACTTGTTTATAAATTAACATAGCGTTTCGAAAATGCAATCTATGTAAAATCACTCATCGCGATTTGATTTTGATTTTTTTACAATGATGATTAATATGGGTTTTTTAAAGTATCCGGAAAAAGACTCGTTAAACCTAAATCTAAATATACCTGCGTTTGTGTTACGACGACGTTTATTTAAAATTTTGTGTTACGACTGTTCAGTTGTTGTTGAGTGAGGAGTGAGTGTATTTATCACAATAGTCCGCACCAGGACATTCGAACCAGTGTTCTTCAGAACTCTAGTCGATCAGTTCGACTCCTTCACCGTTGGGCCATCGTGGTTTCGATGATTGGTTAATGGACACCCCTTTCATGGAAAAGTTCATAGCATTTAAAAAGATATTAGAAAACTATGTACACAAATTTATTAATTATACTTTTCGTTGGTGAAAAAGTATTTTAAAATTTTTGTTAAAATGAATTCCACGTCGTCCAAAACGAATTATCTTCTGATTGTTGAAAGAGCTCAACGGCAATATTTCGAACTTCTGGCACTCAGTCCGAGACAATAGCACCTTGCAACAGATAAACGAAGTTACTGGCGAGTTGAAGTTGAATGCGAAGTCAACTTGATCGAAGTGATACTATTGTTTCGAAGATAACTTCCTTGTTTGATAAAATTTTAACTTTGATTTTTGGAAGCCCCATGTTACAATGGAGGTCTAACGTAAAGGCGATTCGAGCAAGATGTAGTGTGTAAAATTAGTAATTTATATCACATGCACGATACAAAAAAATACTCTAGACTTTCTGAAAGAAAAGAAAGAAAGAAAACATGTTTATTCAGTATCTTATACATAGTTTACAACAATTTAGACAAAATAAATTAAATGTACATACACATGATACTGAAAAGGTGGGCACCCAGAAAGAGAGAGCACTACTACGCACAACAATAATTTTACATTATGCTTAATGCCCATAAAAATGCATTCACCTTCTGATAATTTCTGTGGATTTTTTAAATTAGGCCAATATTTCTAAAAAAGTAGCTCAAAAATTAGCCATCTCTACATTTTTTCTTTTACCATTTAGGTAGGTACAGGTTACTTTTTTAAATGCTGTTCAAACGAATCCTTCTTTCATTGTGAGAAGACAAAGAACATTCCGTCTGCACTCAAGTCTACCTGGACGCTTGTTAATTAACAAAAAACAATTAGTCAGTGCTCGATGCAATCCGTTAATCAATGGTTAAATATACCTTTTGTGCTACGGAACCCGTGAGCGCCGTTGAATTGAAATTAACTGCTATTTTGTTGAATTGCTTTTCATGTTTTATTGGTTACAAGTCGTCTTGGATTTTTTAAATAAATTGTGAATAAATTTTAATGAAACACTATCGATATACTATAATATAATAAAGGCGTTAAAAATTATTTAGATATTAAACATAACACTGGCCTACAGCCATTTTGGAGCCGGGGATTTAAGACCTGATTTTAAGTATGTCTTACATGGCGATATCGAAAATGTAATCAGTTTTTCTCTATCAGCTCTAGTTCCCGAGATAAATGAAAAACAATTTTCACAATTAATATACTGGACAGGCTAGGTGGACCAACGATCTGGTGAAGGTCGCGGGAATAGTACCTGGATGCAGGCAGCGTAGCACCGGTCGTTATGGACGAATATGTATAATGATTTAAAGACTGGCCCTTTTTTATTTTCTGGGATCGGTACAATAGAAATATGTGTCAGAATAAACATTATTATAATCTTAGTTTTTCTACTAATATCTTAATCTATTAATATTTTATCATAATTGACATGCGATAAGTGATTACTACTGTGCGGAATGGAAATCAGTAATGAGTTATGCGAGTAATTATAGATTTCAGCCGATTACTGTTTTTACGTGAATGGAATGATAATGATTAACTTACGTTAAGCGTAATCATGATGTATGTATTTGGAAGTTATTAATTTATATGGAATTACGTTATGAAGTAATGTTTAAAGAGAACTTTATACAATTGAATTAATTGTTAACAGCATATCATCATTTACGTACATTATTAACAAACTTCAATTCACGCATTTTCAGAACATACAATATACCTGAAAACCTTTATGGATAATTCATTTACTATGACGCAAGCAGGGCCACAGGCATATACTAGTTTCAAATATTTTTCACAGCATCACTACATTCTTTCATACCATCTGAAACTCGCGAATGTTATCACCCGTTATCATATTTACCCAACCGCTGTCATTGTCGCGATAACACTCTGGATTGATGGACCCGGCTGATAAGCTAGTACGGGCCCAGCTATGGCGCACGTCGCGTTGGTCGTAGGCGCCGCCGGCAATCTAGGCTACCAAGTATTAAAAAAACTAATCGACGTATACGACGGAAAGATCTACTTCACGACCGAAGAAGAAACAAACGGCTACAACATCTTAAAGTCACTGAAGAGAAATGGCAAGCAGTTACAGCACATACAAATGGACATCACATATACGAAGACTATCATAAAGTTGAGGCATTACATCCAAGATGAAGATGAGAGGATAGATTTGTTGATAAACGTCACAGATTATGTGCCGCCGAAGAATTTGTCGCACGCTGACAAGGTTAGAAGAACGTTAAGCGTAAATTTTTACGGTTACATCAACTTCGGGAAGCTGGTTTACCCTATTTTATCTGAAAATGCGAGGGTTGTTAACGTGTCTGGACCAGCTGGGCTTCTAGCAACTATTGAGAATGAAAGTATTAGACAGAGGATAAGTGATTCTTCAGTGTCAGAAGACGAATTGGTTGCAGTGCTTCAGGAGTACGAAGCAGCGGCCAGAAGAGGCGAAGACAAGACTTTGGGTTGGGGCTTGAATGTCCACGCTGTTAGTAAAGTGGCCCTTAATGCAGTGACATTTTTGCAGCATAGGGAGTGGAGTGACAAAGGTGTTGTGATCAACTGTGTGAACCCCGGCAGTCTAGCTGGTCGCGAAGACAGAAAGTCGTCCAAGGCTTTCGAGGATGGTGCTAAAGCAATTTTGTACCTTGCCTTGGAAGCGCCGTTGTCCTTAAAGGGGAATTTTGTCTGGAGTAACTATTCAGTGATAGAGTGGAACTGTGACCCGTATTTAGAAGTTTCAACAGTGTAAATTATAAAAAAGTGTTTGTTTTTACTTGATAGTTGTTGGTATGAATATAGCTCATAGCTCTATTTTAAGTTAAATACCTAAATCTGTTCAAAACAGACTGTGAATTGTTTGTATTTATTATAGTTTTAATTTAATATTAAATAAGTTGAGTAATTAAAATGTATTGAAATTAATAATTGTTCAATTGTTTCTCAAATTACCTGTCTAGCCCTAAGTTAAGATTAACAAACTCTCTGAATGTATGTTATGCCTGAAATACACTTGTGGTAGGAATTTAACCCACTTCTAGCATAAGTAAAGTTAACTTAGCGCTCTTTGTTCGGTTTCTTAGACTGGGTCCTTGCACCATCTTAGTTTAACTTTTATAAACGTCAAAAATCCATACAAAAAAAACCCTATTATCGTTAAAGTTACGGTCAAAGCTAGGTGGTGCAACTCAGCCTTACACTAGACATCATAACAATTTTATTAATCCGTGCTTAGATTGTGACGCCCCGATTGTGTAGTGGTGCGGTAAATCGCCTAGAGCGGGCCCAGGCTCGACTTTCAGTTGGGTAAAATAGAAAACGATCTTTTCTTAATTGGCTCGTCTGGTTTCTTAAGAAACGCCCCCGGCTTGTAACCTGGTGACTGGTATCTTGCAACACAAGAATATAGTGTCATACCACAACCTACAGCAGGCTGGTTTGTGATGCACTTTTTGTTTATCCACGAAGCTAATTGTCACTTTGTTTCGAGTTCTTGGGAAATAAATACTCATTGCATCTAGATTTATATGCACTGTTTTTATTTAAAAGTCATCAAAGTAATTAATTTCATCGGATTCTTAATTCTCGTTACATAAAATATTGAAGCTATAATTTTGAGTGATGTTTGACAGTTTGACTGCCTACCTGTACTATCGGCAACATTGTTAACTGCCCATTGCCAGTCATGTCTCGTTCTATATCAAATAATCACCATTTGATGAGAGCGAGAGCAAAAACGGAAATGGATAGTTAACAGTATGGCCGTGTGTACATAGGTACACGGTCAATAGACAAGTAGCAGCTTAGTTAATTTACTCTGATACTGTCTTTGGTGAAATATTAAATTCACGGAACCACTAGACTGAAATAGACTTCGTGAATTGATTCTATAACATATATGCGCATTCACGCATGCCATTGAAATGAGTACCGTGATTACGGTTGAATTCCACGAAATAGTTTACCGGGCTTTTACTGTTTCATCGCAGAATTCCTGCAAGCAATTAATAAGATATAACATTAAATCATTACCACCTCCCTAATGTACTAATAACTCGCTTCTCACTATTCCAAACTCCCATCTCACTGAGCTTCAATAAGCGAAATCGGCTTTTATGTCTCGTAAAATAAAGTCTAACAATCGGTATAGTATCCAGCCACTTCTAGGGATGTGCCATAATGCAGGTAAAACTGGTAGCCTCATGCAATGTGTTATTCAATGCCTGTCGCCAATCTGTCTCGAAAGAGTAGGGGAACCTGTTGTACTTAGGCCAGTTTTTCGAATTTTGATTTTTTGAAAAATAATGGTGATACTTAAACTTGTCTAGTGCAGTTATATTTAAAGATCATTTAATTAACTACATAATTCATTCATAAAATTGTGTATAATTTTAAAAATTTGGGCATACTAGCTGCTAGAAAAAAAAAGGGAAAACTGTCCTAGGTACAACAAACCAGATGTACCTTGGACCGTGTACGTTGTACCTATTTAAATTTAAATAAATGCTTATATTCGCTTCAATTTGTTAATTTTCTGTTAAATTATTATTTGAAATACCAATTATTACAGTTATTAGCAACAATATCTAAGTAAAAGTATTTTTTAAAAAAGATCCTCATCCATATTTTTTTTACTAATTATTTTTCACAATTTTTTGGCAACAAATCACTTAAGTTTAAGCCGGCTCTCCAGTCCATGTTTAGCCTTACACAATCAACAAAAATATGACAATATTCAACATTTTTTCTAGAAAATTTTGTTGAATGTTGATATGTTATGTCGTGTAGGACAAAATACGCGCTGGAGTGGCTTTAACTTGCAATCTAGTTTTTTTTATTTCTTATCATTTAACATAAATTCTAGCAAAATATCCATTAAAACCGCTTTATCAACAAAAATAATCTGAAAAAAGTCATATGAAGATACATTAAAAGTAAATTTAAAAAACATTAGAAATTAAAAAAAACATAATATCAAAAACAGACTTCAAATTGCTATTTTGAGGTCTTCGGGGCATTGTATCTATAACAGTATGATATGTTTTTTTATTGCAATAAAATTCTCATTAAAACCTAATGAAAATCAGTGACCAAGGTACATCGCTAGTTGGGTGGTCAAGGTACAACATTGCGACTACTTCACTTAATAAGCATAATAAACCCACTTCCATTTGAGCTTAGGATCTGAAACTCATATCGTCCAGTAGCTAGATATATAAAGATTATGTTCTAACTATAATCGTTTTGTCAAACATGCAACATTTTTCATAAATTGACATGAAGTAAACCTCCAAAAACTCACTGCGTCAGTGTAAAATATTAAATTACCATTTTTTCTCGTACTTGCACGGCGTCGGCGAATCTTAGCTAACTTCACGTTAATGTTGACAAATAACGTATGTAATACCCTAGACTTTTCATAAAACTGCATTATTTAAAAAATATATACAATTGTTTTAGGTACAACTCTGTCCAAGGTTCAACAGGTTCCCTACTGTGACAGTAGCCAAGAAAGTATTTTTTAAAGACTATTATGCCCGTTTTCACCATTATTCCCTAATTTTTAGGTGACCCCTATGGTAATACATAACGGGCATTTTGTTTCCATAGGGGTCACTTAAAAATTAGGGATTGATGGTGAAAACGGGCATAAGTCATTTCCAATACGAGTTGTGCTACGAGTGGGTTTACCACAATAGTTCAGTGTCGCGGCGGGGTTCGAACCCGCGTTCCTCGAATGTGATCCAACACCAACACCATCGAGCCACCAAAGAGCGATTCACACTGTTTTTCAACAACTTTTTTTTCGTCAGGAAATGCATGAAATTGCATTACCCACTTGCCCGTGGGAACCAGTGGGTTATGTGAGGCTCTCCCTGCCAGATGGGCAGGGCCTACTCACTAAAACGCTGTCCTTCCAAAGTCTTTGGGACGGAACTGCGAGTTATTATCCGAGCTGTCTAGCTTAGGCCGTCTGGCCTAGACATTCTTTCGCGGCTCCGCCCTAGTGCTTTTCAACACCTAAAGTGAACCTACTGCCTCACCCTCACCCATGCAGACACTAAACTGGTTTATGGCAACACCCGGTTCGATATATGACTTATTTGGAAGATAAAATCAATCAGGGGAATCCCGGATTTGTTTACGAGCCTGTTCAGATAAGCGTGCATATGACGGAGTGTTTTATTGCCAGGATCCAGCTGCGAGAGAGCCGTGATAAGTGTACCTTTTACAAGGGAACATAAAGCAGCCCTTGTGACAGTCCCCATTATTAAGTTTGTCGGCCGTTTGGTGTAGTGGTTCAGAACGGACTACTATACCGAGAGGTCCTGGGTTCGATTCCCGGCCGGGCAGAAATTGAAATGATGAATTTTAATTTCTGTGACGGGTCTGGGTGTTTTCTATGTATAATATGTATGTATTTACAAAAAAAAAAAGTATTTAAGTATGTTTATCCCGTCGTCTAGTACCCATAGTACAAGCTTTGCTTAGTTTGGGACTAGAGGCGCAGTGTAAAATGTCCAAGGATATTTATATTTATATTATTTTATTAAGTGCCATTGCAATGTTCCTTAAACGACGAAATTACATAAATTGATTGAAGAACAGTCAATGTTCTTACTGAAAAATTTTGGTTTAAAAGCTCAGTGATGATCTGAGGGCCTAGTGTGAGTTTACATCATCAGTGAGCGCCCCTGGCGGGGAACGTTCAAAAACTAAAATAAATTTTCATACATTTTTAAACGCGCTCACTAGTGAGCACGTTCGATGTAAACTCACACTCAATCCACTGATATGTTATGAAAATTGTCTCTTAACCCGGCGTCAATGACGCTGGGTCATATTTACCCGAGGCATTTTCAAACGTTCATAAATTTTTCTTGCGTCCATTTTGTGGTTCGAGCGTTCGTATAGCTGGAGATACAACCTCCCTAAGTCCATTCCGTTAGTTAACTCAGTGTGACTCCGCTTGCGTAGCGAGATACACAGGCTTCAAATTAATACGGGTCATTATGACCCGGCGTCATCGGTGGCGCGGTGATTATGTGGCTTACATTTATTCGCTTATTTTGTGATTAGTGCTAGCTTCTTCTTCTTAGTCGTTACGCTCTTGGCAGAGCGGTCGTGGTCACGTTGAGGCGTTGTTCACATCGGTTGTAGAGGCGGATACAACTCTCCGCACGATCTCCCTCCATCTCTCTCTATTGGCAGACTTTCTGGTGCAGTCACATAAGTCGTCTCCTACTGCTGCTTTCACTTGGTCAGTCCAGCGCATTGGTGACCTGCCACGCGATCGGGTTCCTTCGACTTTGCCCTGGACGACCAGTCGTTCTATGGAGTTGTCATCCCGCCTCGAGACATGTCCGAAGTATTGCAGTATGCGCGACTGTACTACGGTTGATAAACGCTGAGTGACACCGAGCTCCTGGAGTATGGACACATTGGTACGGAACTCTGTCCATGATATCCCGAGCATCTTTCTCCAGCACCACATCTCTAGGGCATCTATCTTCCTCTTTTCCAAGTCGCGTACTGTCCATGTCTCTGCTGCGTAAAGAAAGATGGGGAATACAAGCGCTCGCACAAGTCTAACTTTGGTGGCTTTGGTAATGTTGCGATTCCTCCATAACTTCCTTAACTTCTCCATCGCAGTTCTGGTTATGGCCATACGACGTTTTACTTCATCTACGCAGCCGCCATTATTTGAGATGAGAGCTCCAAGATATACGTAGGTCTGAACTACGTCACAGTTCGCAATGTGTGTCACTTCGGGCGAATTTTCATTAGAGCGATCC